CCACCTTGGAGGCCAGTTTACGTCTCAAAGTACACCATTTACCTCTGAACTGTAGTGGAGTAGAAGTACACAGTAGCATANCTGCATTAGAGGAGGAACTCACAGAGAACAGACTCGCTGTCTCAATTACTTAAAAATGATAGCAAAGTGTTCTACTCCCCTTATGCTCATTCACAAACACTTAAGCATATTTTGTATTGGCCTACCCGGACCACGCTGAAGTCCAGTTTGGACTCCTGAGCACACTGCAGTATTAGCTGGAAGCAAGCCTTGCTCTGATTTGTCATCCCGTTATCATAGTAACGTTCCAGGATCCTCTGCTGCTCATTCGTAAAAACTGAGCGGTGTTTGTGAATGAGCATAAGGGGAGTAGAACACTTTGCTATCATTTTTAAGTAATTGAGACAGCGAGTCTGTTCTCTGTGAGTTCCTCCTCTAATGCAGAGTCATGAATTATTATCATCGCTTTGCTGGATTAGTCCCTTTAGTGTATTGCAGAATGTTTTTAAATTGATGCTACTGAGCTGATTGCTCTGTCTTCTCCCCGCAGACATGGGTTGGCAACAAAAGACGTAAACTGGCCTCCAAGGTGGAACAAAATGGAGGCATGTCTCATTCCTTCTCCAGTCACGGACTCACTGGGGGATTACTCTCCAATCACTCATTAGCTGGAGGTTTACTGTCCAATCACGGCCTGGCTGGCGGGGCGCTGCTTCCTGCTGAACTGGCTGCGGCGCGCAACATCCAGAACCGCGTTCACCTTCTGCCCCCATCCTCATCCTTCCCTTCTTTCTCCTCGACATCATCCTCCCCTTCCTCTTCCTCTCCCCACAGCAACGGAAGCAACAACAACAACAACAATGACGTCATACTGACCGGGATTTACTCTCTAAACTCTGCCCCGCCTCCCAGGCCGAGACCCTCAGCCCCGCTATCTCAGTCAGACTCCGAACTTCCAGCAAACACATCCACCACCTCTCTGATCAGCCGGGCCCTTCAGAGCAGGAACAGCTCCACTTCCTCGCCCCACCACTCCAAGCTAGTGTCGCTTACTCAAAACCTCCCCCCCCTCACGTCTGCCTCAGGGCCTTTAGTCTACACTGCAATCAGGAAGGGAGCTGTATCCCTTGTGGAGGCGGGGCTAAGTGCAGGAGCAGGGGTGATACCTCACAGCTGGACCAGGCAGTACGGTGCAGCGCAAACCACCCCCTGGTCCTCTTCCTCACAGTCCCAGCCTCAGCACAGACCTCACTCCAACCCCCAACCTCAACTTCAACCACCTGCCCCTCAGAAGACTCAGGTCTCCGCCCCAGTTCAAAACTGCGGCCCCTCCTCCGAACAGTCACCTCGTATCCAGCAGGTGTTCACCCTGTCAGAAATAAGCAAGGGAGACAAGCTCAAGCCGAGTCATGCGTCTGCCCCGAAAAGCCCGGAGAGTCATAGGCCGGCGCCCCACCCTCTGGACGCCAGTCCCAACTTCTCCATCGCCATGGAAACTGGGTATGAAGAAGACGAGTGGCAAAGGGAAGAGGAGTTGGCAAACATGGCCGCTCAGACACACATCCACAGGGAGCGGACGCCAACCAGCCCGAGCGGGGCCGAAGTGTCAGTTGGGAGAGGAAGAAACACCCCCCCGATGACGAGCTCCAGACCCTCAGCGCTTCACAGCAGCTACTCCGTCACAGCACAGACCTCACCTCCAGGGGAATCTAGCGCACAGGTAGGAGAGGTTCTGGTGAGGTTTCCTTCAAAACGACTTGAGAGGCTTACCCTGACTGTGACTGTCTCTGTGTGCAGACTTCAGTCGGTGTGTCTGCTGCCCCCTGGGTTATCAGCAATTCCAGAAAAAGAACAGTGAGTACTTTAAACAGAACATTTTGAATATGTGACACAGGAAAGATATTTGAGAGGAATGGTTTTGAGTAGCATTGTAGAAGATATTTATTAGTAAACAGTGTGTACCTACAGTAGAGGGCGCTCTGCCCTCCTAGGTTGGAGAAAGCGTTAGCAAATACTATTTCATCCACCCAAATGTACATATTTCACATATTGCCACTGCTTTACTTTGCCGTCAGACAGCCCTATGTCAATAGGGCTACCCCGATAATTATTTTTTGTGTTATTGTGTCAATATGGTGTTTTAAAAGTTACATTTTGCTAAAGTCACACAAAAATACATACCAGCAAGTCCTATGAGGTAAAAGTATATGTTTGGTATTGAAAAAAAATAATTTTTTACACTTTAACTGATTCATAATTTTCACATGTTGGCCAATGTTTAGGTGGCTTTAATATATTTTCCTTCCACCTGCCCCTTATAACGTAGTTATATTTCTATTTCTCCAAATCGCCATTAACTTTAGTTAAGAAACTGACAAGGGATTATACCTCATACAACCTGATTTCAAAACATCCAAACCATCTCTTTAAAGCACCAGGTGTTCTCTATGGTTATAACACACATACATTGATGCTGTCTGTAAAGTTATATGGTAAAGTCTGCTTAACTTTAGTGTGAGTGTTCTGTAGTTAAAGTTGATTTGTGTTTTCAGCTGCAGGATCGGACCCAGTTCAGTGATGGGGATCTCCTCCAACTGAAGCGCTACTGGGACCGAGGCATGACCAGCCTGGGCTCAGTGTGCAGGGAAAAGATCACCGCCGCTGCAAACCAACTCAATGTAGACACTGAAATAGTCAAGGTAAAGCAACTCAAAAGGATTGGATTTGTTCTATTACCGGTGTTAAACAAATACAGAAAAATCTTTAAAAAGCGTAAGTTCCTCCTTGGGTTACATATCCTCAGTACCCTTGAAACTAAAGAGATGTCTTGTGGACTTAGCGAGTTGTGAGCCTTATTCACAATGTCTAGCCACTTGTCTGTGACATTTAGTGAAAACAAGACCATTTGACTCGTCTGAACTTTAGAGAGCTGAAAGAAAACAGGAAAGAACTTTTGTAGGTCATAGAAGTTTTATGACTTACCTACGTAAAGTTGTGTAAAAGTCACAGTTATATATCAGCGCTACAGTAGGAATGCTGATGGACTAAATATAGCCTCTCAGTCCTGACACACACATGACCCGTGTGCGGCCATCTCACTTACTGGGGAGATTATTGTGAGGAAGAAAACACTGACATAACAGATAAACACATTTGCCCTCATCAAATTTATCTTCGTTGCAATCATTTTAAGAACTGTAAATTTGGGTTATGCTAAATGTGACACATGTATACCTATTTCTTTTCTGACTTAAAACAAAACTTCACCTGCAAAATAACCTTTAGTTAATCAGGTACTCACCCCGTATTACCTTGAATCTAGAAGAAAACTTGTGTTAAATATGATAAAAGACTCCAAAGGATTGGATAAATCTTGATGAATGGAAGTGAATGGGAACTATGTTTTAAAAATGTCTGTTTACAAACTCCACATAAATCTTGAAGTATAATCCATGTCTCATTTATCCAGGCATATTCTCACCACTTTCCAAAGAAACATACTATTCAATAAATGCTAGGACACGTGGCACACAAGATTAATAATGTTTATGCAGAAGCGTTTTAATAATTACGTTTTAGTGAAAATGCATGAAAATGTGTTTGGGAAGTAGTGAGTCTGGATAAATAAGGCTTTTATTTTTAAGACTTTTCTCAGTTTTTTGTTTCTTCTCCCACCAAGAAGGCCTGCTCGAAAAATAAAGGTTTCTTTATTTATCTAAAGTAACACAGGGTTAGTCATTGGCGTGTGTGTGTGTGTGTGTGTGTGTGTGTGTGTGTGTGTGTGTGTGTGTGTGTGTGTGTGTGTGTGTGTGTGTGTGTGTGTGTGTGTGTGTGTGTGTGTGTGTGTGCGCGCGCGCGTGCGCGCGTGTGTGTGTGTGTGTGCGCGCGTGCGTGCGTGCGTGCGTGCGTGTGTGTGTGTGTGTGTGTGTCTGTATGTGTGTGTCATCAGGCTCTGTGATTGCAGCATATTGAAGCTGAGTAAGGTATGTAGCATTTAAAGAGGGAGACATGGAAAGCCAAATGGTAACTGTCATGTGTTTATCTGTGGGACGTAATTGCTTTACTGACAGATTGTAGCTATAGTTGTGCCTCTCAATACATCACTGTTGTCATGTGAAAACCACATAGGTTTCCTCCTTCTTTGGCCAATGGCACTTTTAAAGTAAGTCAACTCTACTCTTACAAACCTTCAAATCCCTTTTCATCTTTCAAATGAAAACGTCTGATTTACCATTTATTTGCGCTTTGATCTAGAATCCAATCTAGACTGAAGCTGAGACTAAATATGTGTTGCCTTTTGAGAAGGGATTCATAAGAGATTAATTTACAAAAACATGTTTACATTTGTGTCTATAAGTTTTATTACAGTAAAAATGTAATGTAGTTTGACATTATTGAAGATTAGAATGAAGATTATTTATTTTTATGAAAAATAACTCCATTTGGTAAATGTATAAGTACATGGACTGCTGGCAAGCTGCCTCTAAAATGTAGTGATTGAACTGTACATTAAACTCTATGGCTGCCTATAAGGAGGTCAGCAAGTGCAGCTGGGAATCTTCCCGATGTAAACTGTCCATTGGTTAGCACTGTCTTCCTCCCTCCCTCGCTTGACAAATGTTTCCAGGATCTTTCCTAGATTTCCGTCTTGTTTGCTCCACGATAGTTTCATATTACATGATTCTGATTTAATCAAAAACAGACTTTTTAGTCTTTTGTTCTGGATAAGTTAAAACTATATAGCAATGCGGGATGAGATCACACATTTGCTCTTAGTTGATTTTTTACAACTTTCACTATAAGTTTTTATCTTTCCTCCTCTGGTTCTCCCATGCTTGTCTCACTTGTAAAAATTACCAAGTATTTAATTTAATGGATTAAGCTTGTTCGCGTTACGAGATGATACATCAACCATTCATTTTTACACTAATTGCTGTCCTAGGGCAATACAAGTGGGCTGTGAAGTGAAATTCAGCTCCTCATTCGCATCTTAAATAAGAGGAAAACAGCCCATGATTTCAACTCTACCCAGCCCAAAAGTATGATTAACTCGCCCTGTTGCTCAACAGAGAGAACTCTGCCAGCGTTTTTATTAATTTTTTTCCCAGGGACACTCGTAATAAAAGTGTATTATTTCATTGTAATGAAAAGACACTTTTGCCAACAGCTCATGTATTGTTACTACATGTCCTACCAACATGTCATGTTTTGCGTCCTCTACTATCTGAATGAGTCTAGACAGTGATACACATGTCTCAGTCACAGCACAATACAGCCTTAAGGGACAGTGTTGACACATTCATAAGATAACAAAAAACAGCAATAGACCCTGATAACTATCACCCTGGAAGTTTATCAAGTTTAAAACTAGGGTTTTACAAAGGGCTTATACAGACTTTTATCTTAACAGGGAAATCTATAACAATGAATCAGATTGCATGGCCCTGTCTTCTTTCCAGGAAGATAACATGTTCAAGTTCCATCAGAACTTTTAAGAACAATTGAAATTCCCCAACATCCTCAGTGTTATGACTTTGTTATTGAACTGCAGATCTGGCAGACAAAGGATGTGGTTGATGTTGCAGTGGAGGGAAAGAGGAGGTAATTTCCAGAGCATCTGCTGATTGTAAAAGGCAGAGTGTTTTAAAAGCAGATGGTAATGGAGATATGATGGAATCCCTTCATAACCAGTCTCGGCACAAGGCGACAACAGCAATGTTTTCCATCAAGGGAATGCTGTTTCTAGACACGGGAAAGATTTTTTTAAAGCATTTGCTGAGCTGTGAAACAAGAATCTATGAATACATGAAACACATCCCATGATTAGTCTATGTTTGTTGTTGAGTGGTTACTATTTACAGTTAATCTATCTGCCTTTGAATAATTATAAAACACATTGTGAACAGGTCTTATTGTGTTTAAAAAAATTGTCCAAAAAATATGCAATTGGTAAAAATGTAAAGCTGAGAAATTCAGCAAATCTTGATATTTCAGAAACTGTGATCAGTGAGATTCGGAAATCATTGTTTGATAAAAGTAGAAACTCTTTACATATATCTGTTATTGCATGCGTGTGTCGGAAAGATACATCTAGAGCTGGTCAGGAGGACGGAGCAGTAGCTGTAACTTCAGGGGGCTCAACAGCGTTTTTGTCCATGGGGGGTTGTCTGTTTAAAAGCTATATAGTCCTTTAACGTATACATTGTATATGCATGTGTGGCCAGAATGTAAGTGTCTATTAATGCACCGTGTTTGTGTGTGTGCATGTGTGTGTTTGGTATGAACAAAGCATTTTCCAAGACCTTGAGGGTCAGCCTCCTGTGGAGAAGCTGTCAAGGTCCCAGGCAGGGGGTTAAGCAGTGTGTCGGGTACTTGTGGTGTGTGTCTTATGTAGGCAATGTCTGCGTTATATAGGGCAGCAAAGGTCAGTATTTAATAAAGACATGAGCACACACTCACGCACCCATACATATATGAATTCATACATAGACATGACATACATCTCCACACATAAATCCCTAGAAGTTAAACTGTACAGTTCAGGGCCAGTTTGCAGTTATCCTTGTATTTTAAATGGCTAACATCACAAGGCCTTGGTAAGGCTACATTTTTGTTTGTACTTATTGCAGAGAGACCTTGTTCAGTTGTACAGACAGCCAGCACATGTTGTGTAAATGGTAAAAACCAGGAAAGCAGCAAGTGATTAAAGAAGCAATATGTTTTAAAGCATGAACAAATGCTTTATTAAGGACATTGTGTGTCCATTAAGTTTATGTAGTGATTAAAATGGGTTGCAGTCTATATATACATTTCTATACAATTTCTGTTGTGTTTCGCAGATTTTTTTTGATAGCGGCATCACAGCGATCTGAAAGCCTCACCAGCGTGAATGACCCCCAGGTGAAAATATAACAAATTAACAAGGTCTCTTTCATTTGTTGGGCTGGAACGTGCTTATGAATACTTTGCAAAATATTGAAATGTGCTTTTCTGTTTCCCTCTGAAGAGACTAAGTGTGTTTCTCTCTGGAAAGAGCCGCAAACAGGATCAAACTGTGCAAAGTGGAAGCAGTCAGTTCTGTCCTTGTCTTTGATCCAAACTCAGCCCTGTTTAAAAGGCCCAGTTTGACAGAGCAGGAACTCTGTCAGTTTAACTGAGCTTTGTGTCACGTCAAACCGGCTAAAAGACGGTCAGCGGGCCTTTGTTCTGCTGTCCTGGAGAGCGAGCCACAGGCCATTCGTGTATCAAAAACGTTTCATGTGTGTAAGGTAACTTTACTGCACATATGTGTGTGTGAGAGTGCATTTGTTTGAATAACTTTGGGGGTCTATATGACAATACTTGTCATAACATAAATATTCCTAATCCAAACCATTCAATTGGTAAAGAAAGATATACGTAACATGTATTACCTTCATGCGCACACAATTTAAAACCTCATCTTTCCACTTAAGCAAATATATTCACACACACAAAGCCTTCCCTTTGATAATAGAGATTCTGATTGATTCTTGTTGAAGCAAAACTAGTTGTGCATTCTAGCTAATTGGCCTAGTTAAGTTTCCCGTGTGTATAGACACAGAAGCTTTTGGAACTGAAACAAGGTCTGTAGGTCAGGTCTTGGTGGGCACAAGCTACACTCTGTTCACACGTCCAACTGTGAGATCATGAACTTTTGAACTTGCCTGGCAGAGCAGGAAATTGAAAGAATACGCTTCTGGAAAGAAGACATTTGGAGCAGAGACGGAATTTGTTACACTAGCAAATAATTTGGCCTCTCTGTGTGGTTTATTTATGCCATCTAGTTAGTCTGGGCAAACAGAGAAAGGCTCCCAAATATACGCTTCCAGAAACCAACACACACTCACAAAGGGGGTTTTATGGGAGCAAGTGGTGACACGCTGTGGACAGGTTTTGGGAGGTTTACCGACATGTGTGGTCTAAAGTTAGAGCAGTTGGAGAATGCCTTCCATCCTTGCGTCCATCCATCCCTGAACATGCACTCCTCACAGCTGTCTCCTTCATCTCATCCTCTGACCTGAGCTGGCTGTCAGGGCCTCCGGCCTCAACACACCATACTGCACGTTCACCACATACCACTGCTGGGTACTGTAAGACCTCA